GTTCTTGCTCCAAGATACTCCCACAATTCTACTGAGTCTCCTAGTAACACACAACAGGATTAATCTCTGCTTCTCAGTCAGAGAGTTGTTCCACTTTGAAGTAGAGAGAAAGGCTGACTCCAACTGTGGCCCTTGGCTGGCATGTGAGAAAACCTCAAGTAAGTCCAAGCTCCAGTAAATATGTGATTATTAACCAGCTGCAGCACCAGAAACCTGAGAGAGCTACCCAGAGCAGTCAGCTGCTTGCCTGTGGAAATGCTTACGTGAGCTGTGAGGCATCATGATCCAAGCTCATAGCCTGAGTTTTGATGCTTTGAACCCTGGCTGCCTTGGTAGGAACTAGATGAACTTTCATGTCCCTGCTGACCCAAACCCATGATTCTATGCTCTTGGTTTCAGAAGACTAGAGTGACATCAGAGCTGAGGATGGCTCTGAGGGTATGAGAACAACCTCGCAGTCTGTGCATTCTCACTGTGGTCATGTTTGACCATTTTGCAATAGGAGAGGAGTGGGTGGTCTGCAAGGGTGTTCAAAAAGCATGGCTGGATGTGATATGAAACTGGACTGAGGCTGGCTGAAAGTTAAATGAAATTCGAGTGATGAATACCTGAGGTTTAGGAATTGCTGTGGCAGGATGCACACTTACTGAGCAGTCTGGCTGGCAACTGAGCACAGCTTTCAGTAGTGGTGTATATACACAGTGAGAATATGTGTTCCTTTAATCCTTGTATAACCTAGCAGCTCCACCTACCCAGGAGACTGAAATTCTCATTGATTCATTGAGCATGCCCAGCAAAAACTCCTAAGCCTTCTCCTCTCCCTTTTCTGCCAGTTATAAGGGCAGAGGTTCAAAAGATCTCCATAGAGATTAACAACATAAATCCATTCACCCTTTTCCCAGGAGCAGCTAATACTTGGATGTGCATTTAGGCAGTGGCACTGATTACACTGTAAATTCCCTCCTAACCTCCAACCATCTGATACATATTTTGAATTGGAAGGTACCTCCAGTAGCAAGCATAATTTAATGTCAATAATTTAATGTCTTTACAGAGAGGATGCTGCTAAACCCAGGGAAGTCCTGTCACTTAATTCCTTTGGTTCCATCAGTGAAGATGTGAGATAATCCTGACTTTGAAACATAAATCTTTTTCTCAAAGACTTTCAGAGATGTGATCATTCCACAAGCATTATCCACTCACTAAAGATCTTGGCCTTCTGCTCGCTTAATATCAACAGTTCTGAGAAAATGAATGGTCTTACTAATCTGTGTAAAGTAAACAGCATTTTGTCCTTAAAAACAACAATATTTAGTCATTCCTGAATCTGATGCATTCAGCCAACGCACCTAAAGAATGCAGGATCAGAATTGTGGAATGATGCAGGTTGGAAGGGGCCTCTGGAGATCACCTGGTCCAACCCCCACTGAAGAGGGGAGAACTCCAAAGTCAGATCAGGTCATTCACAGTGATGTCCAGCTGAATATTGCATATTGCTAAGATTGCAGATTTCACAGCCACTTTAACCGATTTCAGACCACTCTCCAGGTGAATATTTATTTCTTAATTTCTAATTGGAATGTAGAATCATAGAATGGTTCAGGCAGAAAGGAGCCTGAGACATCATCTAGTTCCAACCACTCTGCCATGGGCAGGGACACTTTCCACTAGACCAGAGCCCCATCCAACCTGTCCCTGAACTCTTTCAGGGATGGGACATCCACAACTTCTCTGAGCAACCTGTTACAGTGACTCACCATCTCACAAGAATGAATTCCTTCCAATTTAATGCTAGCCTAATCCAATTTAAACCTACCTTCCATCATCCTAATGCTCTTACCTCCTGTTCTAGCATTCCATGCCCTTTTAAAAAGTCCCTCTCCAGCTCTCTTGTAGCCCCTTTAGGTGCTGCAAGGTGCTGTATGGCCTCCCCAGAGCTTTCTCTTCTCTAGGCTGAACAACCCTAACTCTCCCAGCCTGCCTTCACAGCAGAGGTACTCCAGTGCCTGGACCATCTTCATGACTTCCCTCTGGACTCCTCCAACAGCTCCAAGTCCTTCTCACACTGGGGGACCCAGAGCTGGTGCAGCACTGAGAGAGGCAGAATTCCCTCCTCCAGCTGCTGGCCACGCTGCCTGTGGAGCAGCCAGGACACGGGTGGCTTTCTGGGCTACCTGTGCACGTTGCCAGCTCACGCTGAGCTCCTCATCAGCCAACACCCCCAAGTCAGCAGTGATGTTGTGACTCTCACTCGTTTCATCCCTTCTGATCGCTGTGCACCTCTAAGGAGAGTTTGCTTTTACCCTTTCTATGCCCACCCCTGAGGTAACTGGAGGCAGCAGTAAGATTTTCCCCTTAAACTTCTCTTTTTAGGAGTGATAAACTCAGTTCTTGTCTTTACACATCATACACCATGAGCCTGCTCATCACCTTGATTACCTACAACTGGACTTCTCCCAGAGAGGAACCCCAAGCAGGACATGAAATTCCAAGGTTTGTTGGATAGAGGGAAATGGCTATAACCCCAAACCTGATGGACAAAATCTTGCTCATATAGGCCAGGATGCTCCTGCTCCAGGATGTGTCCAAGAGACTCAGCAGGTCCTCCTGTCAATGAAGTTGTCTGCCCAGTCAGTCCCCAACCTGTACTCTTGTATAGGTCCATTCCATCCCAGGTGCAGACCTCTGCATTTCCATATACATACTCATACATATATATACACACATAAATATATATATATATGTTGTTTACATTCTCTATTTCCCTTCACTTCTCAACGGACCCATTCAGCTCCAGCAGCTGCCAATATATATTTTTTTAAAGTCGAGTAAGTAAAATAATGAAAGTATTAATGATTTTTCATGATAACGTAACCTAGTTTTACTTCTTTAGATTTAATACATTTTATTTTCATTTTCCTTTAAATGTAGTTTTTTGTCTATTTGTTCCTGAAACAAAACAAAAATAATCTATTTTCAGGAGTACATATTTTATCATTTGTGGTTGATTCTATTAATTCTGGGTCATAGGTTTTTTTCTGGGAAGAGCCCACGCAACAAAAAGCTCTCAGCTTTGGAGCTGCTAAGTGTTTTGATCAATATAATGACAGTCAATGATATTTTGCACCTTACAAACCAGGAATTCTAAATCAAGAGGCTTTAAGAAAGGCTGCAAACCCTGTTTGTCCTTTGAGTTGTAAGTAAAAAAACCTACTCATTCCAAAATTATCAGTATTCTTGTGTATAAAAGATAAAATAATAATTTCTCCCCCCAAAAGATGGCAGTTTATTTCCAAAAGGATGATATATTCTCTAAGGCTACATTTGTTCCAGTGCTACCATAGGATCCCTGGTTCTGAGAATGGGTAGCATGGCACTGAATGAATTCTTACAGGGAAGACCCCATCCCACCAAAACAAGGTCCTGGACCTGTTTTGGAGATACTGCTTTGCATTTCCCTTGGTGGCACGGAGGAACAAGCAGCAGCAAAAGAAAACATCTTGTTTATTACCCTTTGTTATTGTTACTTGCTGTTTTCATTAAAAATTCCAGAGAGATTCGGGCGAGGCAGAAGGAAGCAGCAGCTTGGCTTTACCCTCTGTATTCCAGAAGCATGGAATGCATGGGGTACTCCCTGAACATCTCTGTTTGTGTCTTCTCCCCAACTCTCTCTCTCAAGCTGCAGTTCACCAGCAAATGTCATCATCACCTGATCTCAACACCGATGCCCTTCCTTCCTTCCTCCCCTCTCCCCCAAGAGATGCAAACTGTGAGCCCCACGTTAGTGCCTGCCAGCTTCTCACTGACGTGTCTGACCCAAAAGCTCTTGGACCTGTTATCCCAGGACTGTCTGGAGAAGCTGCGTGCCAGCACCAGCACTGCCCTGCCTGGATGCCATCCAAGGCTTGTGGGCTGGAGCTGGCTGGCATCCCTGCATGGAGCTGGGGCACAGGGAATCCTGCTCGGTGGGGTGAGATTCTGACTTCTGCTAGGAAGCCCAGAATCCCACTACTCGTCACAATTAGTGCGCTAAAAACCAGGGGAAATGCTCATGCGTTTCATTAATGGCTAATGTTATTAAATAGATGATTAATAAGAGCAGTCAAGTGAATTATTATCTCTAATAAAAGCCCCGACAATTGCTAACAAGTTAGGAAATGCCAGCAGAGAAGTTCTCAAAGAAATAATCCCCTGCCACATTGCCCCTACACGGAATCACCAGGGTTACTAACAGGTTTCCTGGGTGCACACTGTAGCCTATCTGGGAGCAAAGCAATTCCCGCGGCGCCTCACCAACACATTTTTAGAGGAGCCTAGGGACAATTTCACAGGGATGCTAACTTTCTGCGGCTGGCACGGAATACGCCCGGAGGGGGCGAACCCACCCCGAGACAAAGCCGGGGCTGATTCCCGCGCGGGGATGGGCAGCGGGCAGGACAAGGACAGCGGGCAGCGGGCTGCGGTGGGGCAGGAGCCGGGCAGGGGCGGCACGTACCGGGCAGGGACAGCCGGCTGGGGCAGGGACAGCCGGCTGGGGCAGGGACAGCCGGCGGTTCTGCCCTCCGCTCGGCCCGGCGCGGTCCCGACCCGCGGGCTCACGGACATGACTAAGCAGCCCCTCTCCCTCCGCGGCCGCTCCCGCACCCGCGCACGGCGCGGACTCACCTGCCCGCCCCGGCCCCGCCAGCCCGCGGCGCGGCTCCTCCGCAGGGGCCGCCGCTCCGCAGCCCCGCTCCAGCCTCTCCAGCCGCTCCGCTCCGCTCCAGCCGCTCCGCTCCGTTCCAGCCGCTCCGCGCCCGCGGAGCCGCCGCCTCTCGCCGCCGGGGCGGGCCGGGGGCTGCCGTCAGCCGCGGCTGACGCAGGGCTCTTCCTGCCGGGGATGAAGGCAGCCCGGAGCAGCCCGGAGCAGCCTGGAACAACCCCGAGCAGCCTGGAACAGCCCCGAGCAGCCCGGAGCAGCCCCGAGCAGCCCCGAGCAACCCGGTGCCCGCAGCCCCGGCATGGAGCGCCCGCTCAACATCAGCTGCCTCGCCGATACGACGCCGGACAGCGGGAACAGGAGCGGGTCGTCCGCCGGCCCCGAGGGCGGTCAGGCCCATCTCTCGGTCTTCAGCGTGTTGGTTCTCACCCTGTTGGCCATGCTGGTGGTGGCCACGTTCCTCTGGAACGGGCTGGTCCTGGCCACCATCCTCCGCGTGCGCAGTTTCCACCGGGTGCCCCACAACCTGGTGGCCTCCATGGCCATCTCCGACGTGATGGTGGCAGCCCTCGTCATGCCCCTCAGCTTGGTGCACGAGTTGTCCGGGCGGCGGTGGCGGCTGGGCAGGTCGCTGTGCCAGGTGTGGATCTCCTTCGATGTGCTGTGCTGCACTGCCAGCATCTGGAATGTCACGGCCATCGCCCTCGACCGCTACTGGTCCATCACTCGCCACCTGGAGTACACGCTGCGCACCCGGCGCCGCATCTCCAACACCATGATCGCTCTCACCTGGGCGCTCTCCGCGTTCATCTCTCTGGCCCCGCTGCTCTTTGGCTGGGGAGAGACTTACTCAGAGGACAGTGAAGAGTGCCAGGTCAGCCAGGAGCCTTCCTACACCATCTTCTCCACCTTTGGGGCTTTCTACCTGCCCCTCTGCGTGGTGCTCTTTGTGTACTGGAAGATCTACAGGGCTGCCAAGTTTCGGATCGGATCTCGCAAGAGCAACTCCATCACCCCCATTACACCAGAAGCGCTGGAGGTAGGTCAGCTTGGTTGTGCTTTGCTTGGTCAAGCATTGCCAGCAGGCAAGCCTTTGTAGAACTGGGGGAAACTTAAACCAAAAGTGTGCAAGTGAGCAGTGATCCACCAAAGCCCTGTGGATCCTGGAGGCTTCCAAGGGAAGGCAGACTGCAAAGCTTGCAAACCCAGCCTGTTGGCTCCTTCCGAGCCCCAGCTGTGAGCACTCAAGGTGCAGCTAAAGCAACTTTGGGACATTCTGTGAGCCTGAGCTCCACGTGGGCGAGCGGTGACTCACAGATGTCCCCCCATGGAATGCTGAATCAGTGCTCACCAGCGTGAGTAAGGGGTCACTGTCCCTCCCCTGGGGACGCAAGGGGACAGTGGAGGGATGGGCAGCTGTGTCTGCTGGGGACGATACCCTGGCAACCAGCTGTGGCTTTGGGGACACTGTGAATTTACCCAGAGAGAAAGCTCTTGTGCAGAATGTCCTTGTAAATCTTTCCTAATCATTACTGCATCGTGTCAGTTCATCCCAGGCACGGTGACTCTGCACTGTAAAGATTTCTGGCAGGGAGGAAGCAAATGTGTGCTAATTTTCTTTCCTCTCCTACCAACAACTCTTAAACTCAATGGGTTTAGAGAAAGTAAGCAGACTTCTGTGCACGGCATGTGGGTGTGTGCCTGTTCTGCTGATCAGATTGTAAGTGGGGAAGTAATCTTATTGTGCTGCACTGTGAGTAACCCCATGTACCCTCAGTACTCTCTCTAGTTTCTAATCTCACTTAAAATAGTCTCCATCACCCAGATGAGGTTATACAGCCACCTTGCCCTCAGTTAGGGTGTGACGTGCATGGCCTGTGTTTCCCTGGAGCCCTGGCCCTCGCTTGCACTGTTGGGCTCTGAACCTGCTGTGTGGGATTGCCTGACTGGGGTACATGTGGTGCAACTCGTGTTTGTGTTTGGCAGGTGAAAGAAGCTGCCCAGCAGCCACAGATAGTCTTCACTGTCCGTCACGCCACTGTTACGTTCCAGACAGATGGAGACACATGGAGAGAGCAGAAGGAAAAGAAAGCTGCCCTCATGGTGGGCATCCTTATTGGGGTCTTCGTGCTCTGCTGGATCCCCTTCTTCATCACAGAGCTCATCAACCCACTCTGCTCATGTGACATCCCACCCGTTTGGAAGAGCATTTTTCTATGGCTGGGCTATTCAAATTCCTTTTTTAATCCACTCATCTACACTGCTTTCAACAAAAACTACAACAATGCCTTCAGGAACCTATTCTTTAGGCAGCAGTGAGCAGAAAAAGCTTTCCTGTTGCCCCAGGAAGCTGATTTTGAGTGTCAATGATTTTGACCAAGTTCCTGAGGAAGTTCAAAGCCACAGATACTGAGGTGATGCTAAAAATGCATCGCCATGGGTTGTATGTCCCAGACAGTCCCAGTCTCTAGGCAGGCTCTTCATCCCAGCCTCTTAGCTGCTGTTTTTCCTGCAAGTAGCATGTAAGGGCTTCTCCTGCCAGCAGCCTGGCATCCTCGCTCCAGTGGCCTGCTGTGTTCCTCCTGCCTCCCCAGTGACTCTGTTTGGTGGCACCAAAGGTGCAGAGGAGTCCACTGGCAAAGAAATGCTGGTTTGGCCACTGCTGGTGTCTCCCAGCATTAATCACCTTTGTCCCATGTGCAGAGCTGGGACCCTGTAACATCAGGAGGCTTTGTGATTACATGTGAGAGTACATATTTTATGGCTTGGCTGAAAACATGATTTGTCTTATCTTTCGCTGGTAAAGACTGCAAAATATTTGGTTTTTTGGGAAATAAACCCTTGGTAAGGGTTAAACACAGACTACCAGTACCAAGCTTTTTCTCACATACTTTGGGAAGAACAAATTGTGTCTGTTTGCTTTTGGATTCTATGTAGCAGGGTTTGTTTTTTTAAAGAAAACCCCCAAACTTATTGTGAAAGCTTAATGCATGGTGTACCCTGGAATGAGAGAGAATGCATGGGAAACTCACCTCTCATTCCCTGAGTGCTACGTGTGAGCATCTGCCTCAGACCTTTATGTTCAGAAACACCAGCTGTAAATGCTAATCTTCCTGCCTGTTGTTTCCCATCTTAAAACATGAATGTATTTTGAGCAGCTGTGGGCAGATTTCCTGTAGTTTCAGGGGATGGGTGTATTTTGAGTTGCCTTTCAATGAGGAGCTGTGTTTTACTATTTCTGAATGCAATCCAGAACTTGAAACCAAAGCAAAAACCCCACTTTGTCTCCATGAGCACTGGGTTGCAGGCAAAGGACTGTTAATGACAGGTGATATTTCTTTCTGGAAGCATAATCAAACCATGGAGCTTCTCTTCTGCAAAGAACAGGCTTGAATATTTATTTTTTTGCTCACCTGTCCTTCTCTGCCCGCCCCTCTAGGGCTCCATCTCACATGGTTTTACAGCTCTGTTGCCTCCCTGCCTTTCCACATTGCCAACTTAATTACAGTAGCTGGCATTTCACTCTTACAATTAGGGTTACACATTTTATACTGGCCTACTGAAGGACTGACAGGTCTGCAGATAAAGGAAAACATTAGTTTTAACTTGGTTCTGGGACAGCCACTGAAATCAGACCACAATTAAAATGGTTGAAAAAAATGCAAGATGGAGATCAGAATGACCTGATTTCATGTTAGATATCTCAAGAAGAGATGAAAGATGTCAATAAATGATGGCAAAGCCCCCTGGGATTGGGTAGTATTAATTTCTATCTGTAGTAGATCATGAGACATCAGATGTTAAAATTGTCACTGGTCCTTTAAACCAGTCAAAAATTATGGCAGAGTTGGCAATAAAAGCCCTTTTCCTTTTGCTGTGTCTCGACAGGTGAAAATGGAAGCAGAGGTCAAGGTGCTATTAAAGTGTTGCAGCCCTTTCAGGACCAGTTAGACAAACATGCATCAGCACTGACATGGACACAGCTGATCCTGCCTTTTGGCAAGAAGAGAAATAGGATAGCCTTTGACATCTTCCTTAACACCATCTTAGAAAAGTCTGTTAGAAATATTGGGTAAAACCCTGCCCTCATTGAAAGCAAAGGAGAATTTTTTTTCAGTGATTTCAAATGAATCAGATTTTTATGTGGCATGTCTTGTCTCGTAAAAGCATATTTTTAATGTTAATTAATTCTAGGAGAAGATGGGTGGGATGGGAGTAATCTTCTAACTCCCATGAAAGAGGCTCTGACCTGCCCCCTAATCATGGGCCAATTTTTCCAGCTAGTAAAGAGCATTTTCTTTCTTTGTTACATATATTAAAATATTATTAGTGACATCTCTGATGTATCAAAAATTGTAATAAACTCTTAAACTGCTTTTTTTTTTACTGAGTATGTAAAGGCTGTGCTGCTTTCTCTGGACAGTCCATCACTGATGCTGAGTTGTTCTGTTTGGGAGTTGCTGCTTTTGTTGTGCCAAGGGTTGTTTAGCCAAAAATGACTTGGAAAAAATCCTTCCTTGATCAAGACAGAACTTCAGCTAAGCTTGGTGGTGCCTCAAAGTAGGAGACTACTTCTTAGGCACCCAGAGTGACACTTAAAACACTTTAAAGCATGGATTACCTGGGAAGCTGGACCTCAGATTCCCATTTTCACACCTAACATCATGTCTGCACAGCCCCATGTCAGCCCCAGCTGTGTCCATGCCATTTTTGTTTGCTCTTTGATGGGTATTGCAGATTCTCTTTTCTCTGTTGTGTGGGGTCCTTGTGCAGGGTGTGGAATCAGCTGTAAACTCAAATGAATGTCCACTCAAGCACTGTGAGCAGACAAAAGTTAAACTGAAATCAGTTTAACTAAATCCCTACTTTAGTTGCAGTTTGGTGCTGGGGTGAAGCTCCCCTTCATTACACCCTCTGTTTATTCATGCTGTGCCTTAAACAGTGACAGGGAGAGAGGAGATCATTTTGAAGTGACACTAGATAATTCCAATTTGCCTGTAGTCATGAGTATTCCACCAATGTAATTTACACCACCTGGTGTAAATTACATTTATCTGACAGGCCACATCTGCTACAATAATTTTCTGGAAAGAAACAGCTTCCAGTTGTTCATAAGATTTGTTCTTTTAAATCTTGACAAAATTAGCAGCTTTTGTATTGGCCATTTCCTGCAGCTCATACTTGAGCCCTAATACCACAGGCTTTCCTTCTGAGGGTCATCCCTGCAGTGCAATATGACCAGGCAGGGAAAATATCATTATTCTGGAGGTTGCACTGCAGAATCATCCTGAAACATGCCACAATGATCTCAGCACAGGGAAGAGGCACGAAGAGACCTGGACATCTGATCCAGGCTCCGAGGCTTTTTACAAACCTCTCATTATTCAAACACAGATGCTGAGTGGGCTCCCAGAGATGCAAATCATGTTTGAAGACACAGGCAACCACAGCTTCAAAGGAGGCATCTTGTACCTTCTTGTTGCCATTTATACACAGAATCAGTGGTGTGAAGAGATCTGCCTCGCCGAGGCTTTGTGAGGATTAATTACAAAATGTTGATCATGTACCAGGAAGGTGGAACACTCTGGTTTGAATGCCGAGCAGCATTATAAATTGAGCTTCTATTTAATTCCTAGGAAGAACGTTATTACCCATTATTATTGAGTTTTGTACGCAGTTTAATGGCTATATAATACTTCCAGAACAGATTTAACTAACCTGCTCCCACTTACAATTAATTTAGCTCCCTCTCAATGCCCTGACAATCCAATGAACATCTGTTTGGGAGCGAGGGCAGCGTGTGCTGAATTCCAGCTGCTGCTGAGCATCTCCTCATGATGCTGAGCATGTGCTGTCAGGGTTCAAGGAGCAGCAGCTCTCTGGGAAGCCTGCTCTGGGTTCCTTTTACTTTTAGGGAAGAAAGAAAAGGTCGTTGAAGAATGCCCATGGATTACATGACAGGTTGGCTAACCACCTTCCTCCTTCACCCCCTGCCTGTTGGGCTCTCTTCTCATCACAGGCAGGTGATTCCAGGACATCCACTGGCCCTACACAGCCAGAGGTGAGCCACACATGACTTCATCCCCTGGTAATTTTTCAGGGCTTTTCAAAAAAAATTATTACTAGGATATGTGTCCTTGGACTGTCAGCAGCAGCTGAAAGTGGGAGTTTCCTGGAAGCAGAGTTGCAGGTAATTAAAGAAATTTCACCTGACAAAGGTAATTAATGACTGTTCCTTCCAGTGATTGCAGTGGTGAGGTACAACTGACAAAGTGTCAAAGTGATTTTTGCAAGGCAGTGGTTTGAGCTGCTTTGTTCATTGTGTTTTACTCTTGGACCCCTTGTTTTGCATCACTGGTAGAGCATCCCCTGGGGTTCCAGCAAAGTCATGGTGGACATGATGTAGTCACCATGACTGCTCCATGTGAGAACAGTGGGGTGAAACAGCCATGACAAAATTAGCATCCCCACTGGGATACACCCTGGCAAGAAAATCATGACACTGCCACAGTTTCATCAAATTTAGGACATGGCCAAAGAGCTCTTTAAGTCCTCGTTATGTTAATTACACCAAGGTGCTGAGGATGTTGCAGAGGACTGGAGGAGAGCTGGAGCTGTGCCAGTATTTTAAAAAGGCAAATTTGGAGAGCCAAGTATTTCTAAGACAAATGCTGTTACTGATTTACAGCTTGAAATTGATCCTTGGCAAAAGAAGTGGAGGAGCTGATAAATGACTCGGTGAATAAAAAATTACAGGAAATAAATATAATTAAAATAAATCACATTGATGTTTTTGATTGCAGCACATGGTTCACTGCTGATGGGATATAAAGTATTCACTCAGTAATGAATCTGACTTGACAACATTCAATGCCTCCATTAAAAATTGAAGAAGAAACCAATATGAGGTTCAAACTGTCCAATAATTGCTAGTGACTTATGGACTGGGAAAGGTGTAAATACAGAAAATAAGGTCACTTCTACAGAGAAGTGAGGATAAAAACTGGTTGGGAGCATTTCAGCCTGGCATGAGGGAAAGGAACATGTCCAGGAGAAGCAGGATGGGGCCCTGGTTGCAGGAGGAGAGACAAGGCTGTGATGGGGTGCATCAGGAGCTGAACATATGGGACTTTTCAGCATTTCAGGAACAAGCAGGCTGATTTCTTGCCTGTGCATGGGCTGTGTCCAGCTGTGGGTTTTATTCTGGTCACTGGAGGAGAGGCTGAGATTTCAGTTCATCGTCTTTTTGCTCCTCCCTCCTCCTCGCCACTGCCAGGCTGTCAGCATTGCCATTCTGTGTCATTTTCCATGCTAGCCAAGTCAAACACTGTCCCTAATCATCCTCAAAAGCAAGACAGATGGGCCCTTTCCCTGGATCCCCCAGTGCATTGTTGTTGTTCTCTGTCTGTCCATTTCAGCAGTGGAACAGCAGCTTCTGTGATGCTGAAGCCCCACTGCTGCCCATGGGTGGGACCAAACAGGGCTGGGTGCAGATCCAGGGGTGATCCTAGCATGGGGAAAGATAAAACTGGAGCTATAGCCTCCCCTTGGTTTTCTGCTGGAGCCATTCCCAACAAAACTGTTCCTAATCCTGCTTCTGGTCCCCACCCTGCTTTGGGTGAGACCAAACGTGGCCAGGCAGCCACCACCACTGGTCATCTCTGCAGGAAGGAGAAAGATAGGGGTAAAAACCCTTCCTGCAGCTCTAATTGCAGAAGAAAAGTTCCCCAGCCCTGACTGCCCTCCTGGGAGAGGACACAAAGGCCATGTGGCTGAGATAGCCACTCTGCCCAGTTCAGTCCCTTCCCACTGGTAGCTGCAGAGGGTGGGGTTGTCACTCCAAACTGCCTGCTGCTCACCAGGTCCTGAGTCTGTGCAGGTGCTGGAAACACTGCATTTCTCATCAGTTCAGGGCTGCGGCCTGAAGTCAGTGCTTCTTCCTTGTGCCTTTCCATCCCCAAATCCTGGTTAAGAACAGGTCACACCAGCCTCAGTTGCTGGTACAGGGGAGGGCAGCCTTTCAAAATCAGCATCTCTGTTGGTGAAGACCTCCTTGTCTCTGGGCTCAAGATGCCGAACCAACAGCTGAGGTGCCACAAAACCCCAAGATCTGCTTCTTGCCTAATTCAATGTTTGCATCACCTGGTTCTTCACAAGACACTGGGCTAGGCAGTCCCAAAGCTCAAACCATGCCCAGTCAGGTTCACCTTGCTGAAGTCCATCACATGTCCCACCTTTTCACTGCTCCCCTGTGGTGCTCTTCTGGAGCTCTGGCTATCAGGAAACCATTCACACATTGCTCAGGGTGCTGCCTCTGCAATATCTCTCTGGCACAGCACAGCTGGACCAAACAGGGCTCTTTCCAACCCAAAAGAATCTGTTTCACATAGACCATGGTGAAAATTAATGTGATCACCTTCTAAATCTACTAACAGCCTGATATCCTGTCCCACAAGCTACCTGTGCTGCTGTCAGGCAGACTTTAGAGGGGAAAAGCAGAGTCCTGCTTTTATGGTCACGTATTTTCACAGTTTGAGTGGAGACCTGCCTTTGAGGAAGGGGGAGGAATCATTTTGATGCGTTGCCAAATGGCTCTTTGGGTGGGCACTGGAGCATATGGAGCCTCTCTCACAATTGCCCGGGAGCTGCAGTTCTGTGATGTTTTTTCTCTCCTCAGCTGCTCACCTGATGCCAAAGTTTCCAGGTGCAGAAAGGCAGGATGCTCCTGCCGTGTGCCTTGGACCTTCCACCTGCCCGTCACGGCGCTGGGGTGAATATTAAACAGACAGCAGATGCAAAGTGCAAGCACACTTGCTGGCCCAAGGGGTTACTCAATATCTAGAATCTGAATGCTAAAAGAAATTGAGAACCCATGGAATTAAGTAATTAAGTTTTTCTGAGATTTTTAAAAAGGAGGCAGGTAGATGCTGAGGAGAGGTGATGCAGCTTCTCTGCTTCCCACAGCTTTCAGCACAAACCTCAGCCTTACAGGGGATTTCAGAGCACGTTACTCTGGCTAAAGCCCTCGGGCTACTTTATAAGCTCTTAGTAGTTGCCAACAAAAATGAGTGTCAGGACTGTTTCTTATTAAAGTGAGCATTTAAGGCACCTGGAGAACACTGAAAGTAGCATAAACCCTATAAATTCTTTCTGAAACTGTCAAATTGGCCAGTGCTTGCATGCAGAACATAGCAAATAACTTTCAAATGAAATTTATTTGACAGCAAATCTGCTGCTGCTCATGAGATCAGCTTGTCCACTATTGTTATTC